CCATTAAGTAGTTAGTCTGAGTTGTAATAGCATGCGTGTTAATATGGCCACTTCTTAATATTAATATATGATTATATATTTAGTTAGTATTTATTCCTCCATTATGACTAACTCCAACTTAACAACATGCAATCATGCTTATAAATTGAAAAAAATGTTTTGTAAGACAAATGTCCGGAAAAAACTTTTCTAATATGGAATTCACAAATTTGTAGAATTGTCTTACATCTGAAATAGTGTTCAACATCTGTCACGACATTAAAAAAAAATCTAGATGCATCTTGGGTTCATCAAATGTACAATTGCAAAATGGTAAATATTTACTTAGAGCCTCAAGTTGTTTATCTTCCTTAATGTCATATTTAAATAAAAAAATATTATCATAGAAACCTTTCCAAACCGCACAAACTTTAAAAATCAGTTTTTTTTACTAACCAATAATTAAACTCTACTTGCAATAAAAAGCGATTACATTAAACTTTAAGAAATAAATCTCAATAATTTTTAGACTAATATTTTCAGTTAAAAAAAAAAATAATAATCTCAAAAAAGAAAGTTAATCTGAAGTTTTTTTATATCATAAATTTATTTGTGATTATTTTTTAGCTGATGTACCGTTAAAATGAAGGTGGTAATAAAGTTTACAAAATTTGCTCTGGCTGAATTTTTCAATGAAAAAACAATGTGTGCCATGAATGTAATCGGTTTTTCATGGCATATCAATAAAAGTTTGGTGTATTGGCCAAATCACTTGCAAGCATCTTGCCTTTAAACTGCCATACGTAAAGTCAAGCTTTTAAAAGTAACTGAAAGCAGCTGAAAATAATAATTTTTTGGTAATTGTCTTGTTTACAATATTGTTTTTGTTTTATTTACAGTATTGTCTTTGTTTTTTTTATCTAAACAGCTATGTTTGACTCATATATAGTAAATGCTGATTGTTTAGTATGGTTTAATCTCTTCTTTATACTATTTTTTCACAGTTATGAGACTGCTTTAGAACGGAATTATCTGTGCCTCCAGCTTAAAAGGAGGCAGGTTACAAAAAAAGTGACACTGATGAGATTGTCTCTCAGTTTCTCAAAGATTGAAGAAATCTTTAGTGTTTTAGGGTTAAGTGATTCCATCAGAGCTTTGCTTGATTATCTCTTTCGATTTATTGAATTTATTTGCCGGTTAAAGATGAAAAAAGATCTTCTAAACCTAGAAGAAAAATTTTGAAACAAAGACACCTTATGAATCAATAGTATATATCAGTGAATTGATATTAGTTAATAGTTTTTGGAAAACAGTACCATGTACTATTAAAGTTTCTAATTTTTAAAATATATAATACATTTATATGAAACATACAAACAAATGATACGTGATTGACTATAATTATGTTGTATATCAGAATGTTTTATATAAATGCTTATTACATTTTATTGTGATTTTTATCTTTTATGCCCAGTTAGCAATGTATTTTGTGTAGCAATGACTACTAATCTCATATATCTATGACATCTGTAGGGTGTATTCACCGCTACAGATGTCATAATCTTTTTATAACCAATTGCTTTTACTCTTCCATAATGTCATATTTTAATAAGAATCACATTATGGAAAACCGTCTAATACATACACATGAGGAACCATTATACTTTTACAACCAATTACATTACATTTGTTTTCTTATTTTAGATGAGCTTTCTTACTACGGTTGGAGGAGATGAGAAACAACTTACAGCGACAATCTTAATACAGTTAATGGCCAAAGAAGTATGTTTTTCATACTCAGTGTATGGAAGGAACCAAAAACGTCCTGCAAGGTCGTTATAGGTAAAGCACAATATTTGTATTCTACATCCCATTTCCTTTTAATAAATAAATATTTTAATAAAAGCTAATTATTTTACGATATTTATACGTGAAAAATTATATATTTCAAAATTATATTGTGATGACATTGAAAAAACATTTTTTAGATTTGCGTTTAGTCATTTATCGTTGTATTCGTTTCTTTCGAAATTGCTACTGACAAAAGTATTAAAGAAAAAATTGGCAGCTTTCTGGCGACGGCCATTGATAGAGATTACGGAAGAAAAATAGAACCGTAACTGAGCAACGCCCAATATTGAGCAATGAAATAAGTATCGCCAAAATAATGAAAGTCGATGCCCACTATCTCATAGTGAGAGTATAATACAGTAGTTTATAGATATATATTTATATATACATATTTTTTGTACCTGTATTTAAATAGCATTGATTTTATTTTGTTATATTTTGGTTATGGAAAACTCTATACCTCTTCTTTTTATTTGTATCTGTTTCATATCACTTCAAATAAATTTAATGATTTCGATTTTTTTTTTTTTTCTCAAAGCGTGTTCTATGATTATTGTCACCTCCTAGACTATAACCTGTTTAACTCAAAAGAATAATGCAGCCTAGTACTATAGTATCACTTAAACAAGAAAACTGTTAGTAATTTTAATTATTACAAAATTGTAGAAGGCAATATTTTTTATTATTTTTTGATAATAAATATTTAATCGAAAATACTCAATATATTGCCTTAATTTAGTTATATATATTATATATATCAGGATAATATTGTAAACTATATTAGGCCAATATTGGCCAGTATAATATCCCCATTATTGGCGCGATATTATTTACAATATTGGCGCGATATTGTAAACTATATCGGGCCAATGTTGCAGTGTGAACATTTTGCCAATATTGACTTTACAGTATTGGTGCAATATTGTATAGCCAATATTGGCCAATATTGACTTTACAATATTGGCGCAATATTGTAGCGCCAATATTGGCAAAATGTTCACACTGCAACATTAGCCCGATATTGTTTACAATATTGCGCCAATATTGTAAACAATATCGCCCCAATATTGTTTGCTACTAGGGTTATTTCATTTATAAATTATAAGTTTTTTGTGATATTTTATAGTTGTGTTTTATAATTTTTTTTATAATTTATTTTATAGTTGTGTTTTATAATTTTTTTTATAATTTTTTAATTTCATTATAGAAAATAAAATTTGAGTTTAATTAATTGTTGAGTATTTTTTAAGTAAATTTAGTAATTAATAATTGGAATTTGAATTTAAAGAAATTGTAAAGATGGTGCCAACAAGGGCCTAAACAGGAAATTCGGTTATCACCATTACAATTACAAAAAAACTGAAATTGGTTATATTGCACTCTAAAACCTCTATTTGTATCATACTTCAATTTCAGTTTTTATTTCTTCTAGGCATTTATTTAATGCTAAAAAGAGTTTTTAGCTTTATTTAGAGTTGTTTGTTGCTTGGCCTTAATTAAATCACTCATATTGAGTAACAAATTGGGTAACAAAGGTAACCATTGCAAATAATGAGTGATTTTTATAATTAAACACTTTGTTAAATATTAAAATCTTTCTTTACTCAAAACCTTTTTAAGTAAGGAAAGATTGTATTATTTCCCCAAATACTTAAGTTTAAGTTATTTTTCAAATTTCAGAAATTCCACGCTTCTGGTGAGTCTCAAGGGAGTTTAAGTTCGGTAAAAACGTAACAAAAGTAAATTAACGGAACTACATAAACTAAAGAGTTTTTTTCCAGAAGCGACACGCAACAGAGCATGCAATCCTTGATCTCTCAAATAGGATTAGTAAATCATTTAAACAAAAAAAATTCACGTTAGGAATCTTTATTGATTTGTCAAAGGCGTTTGACACCGTCAACCATGAGATTTTACTGACAAAAATGAAAAATTATGGCGTTAAAAATAAAGCTTTAACTTGGCTTAAAAACTACCTTAATGACAGACACCAGTGTGTTATTATAAATAAAAAAAGCAACTCGAGTTTACTGAAAACAAAATGTGGTGTACCCCAAGGATCCATTCTTGCTCCTCTTTTGTTTCTTATTTACATTAACGATCTCCCAAATGCCTCCAATATTTTTAAAACTATAATGTTTGCCGATGATACAAACTTATTTTACTCATCAAAGACTATTGAATACTTATTTAAAAAAACAAATAATGAACTAAAAAAATTAATATATGGTTTAAATCAAACAAACTATCACTCAATATAGATAAAACTAAATATATTCTATTCCACTCTACTCAATAAATTAAAAAGCTTCCTCTTAACCTACCAACAATTAATAACAATTAAAAAACGAAACTCTCAAAATTTTCAATAAAACATCGCGGTCCCTATTTATTTAACAAAATAATTTCTAGAAACGAATTGCTAATAAATTTAAACAACGAACAATTCCTGAAAACAAAGTTAAAATCTACAATAATCAAGTTAAACAACTACAAGGATTTTTTTTAAACTCCAATTTAAAATTTAAAAATAAAAATAATATAAAACAACCCTAATAAAACAAAAAAAGTAACTTTTCAAAGGAAACAATAATATTACTAAAAGGAGATAGTAACATTAATAATTTTAAGGCATATATGTACCACATTCATATTTACCACGTATGCAACTGATTTGTATGTGTATTACACGTCTAGAAGGTACTCGATAACAAGACTGACCCCAGTCTTCTTTGAGCTTCCTAAAACTACAAACAATTAATTATTTTCTTCAATCTTATACAAATCCTGTTTTTATCAGACTTTTATATATATATATATATATATATATATATATATATATATATATATATATATATATATATATATATATATATATATATATATATATATATATATATATATATATTATTTTAATTGAAAGAATATAGAAGGTTTATTTCTTTGGTAATTTTTACGTTCACATTATTCTATTGTGTACTTTGTATTTATTTTTATCATGTCTCAAAGTTGAATGTAACAATATTTTAGATTTATCCCTTATTTATTTTGGACTTGATGTTTAAGATATTTATTTTGTATATCTTTATTCTCCAATCGGTGATTGGTCAATTGTAAATACTTTGTAGTTGTAAAATAAACATGTTGAAAAAAAAAAAAAACAGAGTTGTTTGAGTGAGTTAAACGTTCGTTTAGTATCCTTTTTCGTTGATAACTTTGGCAGGGTTATTTGTCTTAATTATTTTCAAGATTTGAATTAGGAATAATTTGAATAAAAAAAACGCATGTTTAAGAAAAAATTTCTTAACTGTTCAACTTTACATTGACTTTTAAGTAATAAGTTGTACAACTCTTAAAATGAAGAAGATTAGTCAATACTTTAGAAAAAAAGAAAGTCAAAATGAAACAGCGCATTATTTTCTGAATTTTAAAATGCTAATAACTTTCAAGATAATACTCATGAAAGTTTATCATTTGTTCAGTCAGATGATGCAACTGACTCAACCGCTGTTGATGAGTTGCCATCTTTTAGAGAGAAGCCTGGACCTTGTTGTTTAAAACAGTCATCTTTTTCATCAAGAAAGGAAAGAAAATTTAAACACAAATGGAATGAAAAATATAAATGGGTTTTACATGACCACGACAACGAAAAAGTTTTTCGTTCTACCTGCACTAAGCTACCGAAATAAAAATGTCTTTACCACGTAGTTCAAGAAAAAAAGATTCGTACGAAGTTTTTATTTTAAACGGATTTTCTAATTGAAAAAAAGTATTGCAAACTTTTGGTTCTCACGAGCGATCTGAACTCCATAAGGCGAGCGTTGGTAAGATCGCCTCACAATGAAAGGAAATTTAGTGAAACTAGACGAATACAATATGAATTTTTTTTTTTAACTATTTGTCTATCAAATAACTAAATAATGCCTGCCTAAACCCAACCCTCTGTCGATGTAGCAGCACTCCGTTGCGAGTCAGGCTATTTGTCAGTCGATGTAGCAGCATACCGTTGCGAGTCAGGCTATAAGATAGTTGATGTAGCAACACTCCGCGCATGTTTTGCAATTAAAAAATAAAAATTTTATTTTAAATAATACTTTAAAATAGATAATTAAGAACTGGAGAGTTTTTTTTATCGTTATTTTTATCATAAAAATAATGGTCTTTAAAATATAATATTTTGCTAGGCAAAAAAGTTCGCATTTTACTGGTTCGCAGTTCGCGGTTTGCAGTTCGCATTTTACCGACAACCGAGGAATAGCGCATAACTTGACATTTTGATGAAAAATGAAATGTTTTATAAATCTATTTAAAATAAATAAATATAACTATTTTATCGTTAATTTTTAATTGAAAAAAAAATAAAAAAACTAGGGGGATATTTTCTTGGGGATTATTTCATGCACCCCCTAGTAGTAGCAAGGTATAAGATAGTCGATGTAGTAACTTTCCGCACATATTTTACATTAAAAGCAATACTCCTCGCATATTTTACGAATATGTAAGTCAAAGAAGCAACCTTTCTCGCATGTTTTAAAAATATTATAAAACAACAAGAAAAAAAAAAAAAAAAAAAAAAAAAAGACTATCAAGGACCGCTAGGAATTTCCAAATATTTTTTAAAATAGTTTTAAAAAATATGGTAATTATACCAGTAAAAAAGATAAGAAGCAATTTTTTTAATAAAATATTAGAGTTTTTATTTTAAGGTCAAAAAACTGTAAAACATCATTCCTATTTTAAAATTTGCTTCTATTTTTAAAATTATTCGGAAAAATATTTGAGTATTTTAAGACTTAAATAATTAAAAGTTTTAAGATAAAAATAGCTTTATTCATAATTCAATCTCAATTTAACTTTAGTTAATTTAGTAGATATATTAATATTCAGGCCTAAAAAATACTTTCTAACGACTTTCAAGAAAACCGTTACAACTTTATCAACGAATAAACCTAAAACTACGCTGTTAAGTTGAAAGACAGGTTACGATAGATTTAAATATACTCTTGTTACAATGCAAAATGCATATTGTTGAAAATGATGATATTATAATTTTTTTTTTTACAGAACAATAATGCTTTTCCTACTTTTTTTATCTGTAAACATTTAAAGTGTAAAATCTTTGAAAACTCTAAAATATTACTTTTTAACCTCAACCACGATTTCAAAATTATCTTCCTTACAAAAACGTGGTTTAAATACAACGAAACAATCGCACATTTTGAATCAGCCAATTACGCATCAGCTCATAAATAGCGTCAAAATGATGCTAAATACTTTATTGCCATCATTTTGCAATATAATTTTATTCCGTTATTTTCATCTTGTTTCTTAAATAACTGTATAAATGATTATAATTGCATAACGACTTAATTTTAATGTTTATTGTAAGAAAAAATATATAAATATTCTACTTCTGAAAATAATAAATATTTAATATAATGAATAATTAATATTTTGGTTACTTGACAACAACAAATATTTCATTTTAAATTCATTAGATTGAGTAGATGTGTTATTCGTTACGTTTTCTTTGACATCTTGGATAGTAACTATAGTTACTTTCGGAAGTTTTAGCCGAAAAAAGTATATTTTTGTTTTATGAAAAAAGTTTAAAAAATTTACCGAAAAAAATAATCGCTTCTTCAAAATTTGACAGAATTTTCGAATACCTTATCTCTTTCTTTTAAACATTTTAGCTTTTCTCAAAAATTTCAAGTACTCATCTATCAAGAGTTACTGACTTCCTTAAAATTTCTAACTTAAAAAATTGCTAAGTTCTAGATTTTATAAAAGATGGATAAATGTTTTTTTTTATATATTTTCCTGAAGTTCATTTTATTAAAGTTAAAGTTTGTTAACTTCCTTTTTTAAACTTATTTCCAATAAATTTATGAAAACTAATTTTTTACTTTTTAAGTTATTAAAAAAGCTAAAATAACCAGCTTTGTAATTTAGTTTCGGCAAAAACAGTCCATTATCCAACAAATGTCCATCAAATATCTAGTCTAACAAATGTCCATTAAATGTCCATTCCAAGTCCAGTCAGACAAATGTCTATTGACAATTAATTTCGCCAACAACAGACTTTTTTTTTAAAGTAGAAACTATAATATTTTATTAAAAAATTCCTTCATATTTTTTTTACTGGCAACATTATTATAATTTTAAACCTGTTTTAGAAATTTTTGGTAATTCCTATCGGTCCCTGATAGCCACGAGGCAAAATATGTCAAATAATTTCGTTTTGTTCTATTTCTTCCAAAAATGTATAAAAATTAAAAATAAATTTTTGATAAGGTAAATTTTATAAACAAAAAAAACAAAAAAAAAATATTATTATTATTTCAATTTTACAGGTTTTTAGCCATAGAATAAGAGATAAAATTTTTTATGTAAAAACCAATTCTTTACTATTTTGCTTGTACCATTGCAGCTACTTCAAACTTATTTTAGAATTTTTCGACAATATCTAGCAGTCCCAGATAGACGCAAGGTGAGTTACTGCCCCAAAACTAATTTTCCTTACAATTATTCAAAAAAGCCTGTTTTTTTTTAACGCAACTTTTTTTTTTTTTAATGTTGATTTTAGGTGCCCTAAGAAGTCCTTACGGTCTTATCACAGAGCACCGCGGAAGAGCATTTAATAGGAAGTTTACGTCTCCTTCCCAACCGATGTCGCAAAATTTTTCCAGAGGTGGGGTTTGAACAACGGATCTTACGTTTTTGAGGCATGTGTGCTACCACTGCGCCAAGCCAACTCCTAAATGACTAATACAAAATAAAAACAAAATGTTTCAATAAGTGATATGTTTTTTTCGGAAAAAAATGAAGCATGCGTCAGAACTTTTTATTTTTAATTAACTAGAAAAAAAAAATTATCTGTTTTCAATTTATAATGCTGTGCTCTACATATTTTTAATTATTCTGTTAAAACATGCTTATGAAGTATTAAAAGATTTAGTTTTTTTGCCAAATATTTTTTTTTTCCATATGTATTTTTTAATTAAAAAAAAGTGTTATAGAAAAAAAATTTTTGTGTCTTGAAAAGTGTCTTGAAAAAAATTTTTTTTCGACAAACACTGTAAAGATTTTATGATAGGTATGGTGTTAACCTATATAAGTTATGTAAATATACTAGTATGCCTTTCAGACAAATTCTACTTCATAATTTAGACATTACGATAGTATAAACAAAATTTATTGTTAATATACTTACAACTTTTGTTTTTTTAAATTTTTACAAACCTCACATTCCTTGAGCAGAAAAAAGTTGATAATTTGCTAGTCAAAGAAAATCTTAAAAGTATAAAATTAAGGTTCATTTTAGAGTTGATAAACAGCGTAAATATTCTCGTCTCAATTTTTCTTCCGCAGCACACAGCTACCTCCCAATTTATTTTAAGCACCAAAATTTCCTTTACTTCGCTTCCAATGGCGTCTGCCGTTCTATTTGCGGCCGCAGTCAGAGTTTTTTTTTGAAGGCAAAATGTTTTGGAGGCCGACACCAACAGAGAGGAAGAAACCAATGATGGTCGCTTCCAGAAAATTTTTTGGAGGCGAAACTATTTGTTGGACGCCTCCAATAGCTTCTGCCTCCAGCTAGCTGCGGTTGCCGATTTGGCGGCGGAAATAATTGTCTTCTGGCGGCAGATGTAATGAAAAAGAATTGCATGTTTGTCTTTAAGTTAACGAGAAATTAAAATATTAACTGAGAACAAATGTTAAATACTTGACACCAAAGTTTTGTTTTATATAATTTATTGACTATTTAAAAAAACTTTTAGAAAAAAGTTATAATTTTGTCAGAGCGGTTGTTTTATCAAAGACTTTCGAACAAATTTTTATCTTTAAAACGTTTTAAACTTTTAATCGCTTAAAACTTTATAACGTTTAGGTGTGTCTATATTTTTAAACGTTTTAAAAGTATAGAGTAAAATATAAATAATACATATAAAAGTATATATATTTAAAGTTAATTTAATTATTTTGTTGTAATTTGGCAAAACTATTAGCGTAATAGAGCGTGGTCACAAACTTTTAATTAACAGCATATATTTTTTCAATAACTTTTATAAAATCGATTTATTAAAAACAAGTAACTTTTTAATTTCTTGATTTAATTACTTAAATATAATTTTTTTTTTTTTTTTTTTTTTTTTGTTAAAAAAAAATTTATTTGCCAATGGCAAAGAAGTAAATTTTCCAACTTTTAACTTTTGTTTTGAATAGTAAAACTTCTAATTTATTCTACTTAATTTATTAGTTCAAAACAAAAATTAGAATTTTTTTAAATACTCAAAACTTTTGCAAATAATTGTATAAAATGAAACTTGATGTCAAATGATATTTGTTTCTAGTTAATATTTAATTACTTTAAAGTAAATGACCAGTATTAAAATTAACAATGCTGAACTCTGCATTTATATTGAAACTATCAATATAAGAGATCTCAAATTTTTTAGTTATAATGATTGTACATATTATTTGCATCTATATTAATATTATTTTCATTCTTTTCGACAAGAAAATCTACAAAATGTAAATATTTTGTTAAAATATATAATTTTGAACACTTTATTATTTTCTTATCCTTTTTTGTCCAAGTTTGTCATCGAATTTTTAGTTCTTTCTATTTTTTTTTTAATTTATCCGGCTGGCAAACGTTCAAAGAAACAAGAATGTACAATTGTGTATAAAAATTGTAAAAGCACTGGTAATTGAGTTTTAGATTAAAATAACAAATTAATTTTTTTTTTTTTAAATTTGTCTTCATGCCTTGGTAGTTATGTGTTATATTTTACAAGTTTTCAAAAGCACATGTAATATTTTTTGTTGCATGAATAACATTTTTAGTGAGACTTTTTGAAAAGCTGACCTTTATTTAGATTATCCTATTTATTAAACAAGATTTCCCAAAATATTTTTCAAAAATAGACATCCTCAAACTGATATGCATATATAATGTACACAATTAAAAGATATAGATATAGGTAAAATTTAGACTGTATACAATTTAAGGTTCAATCTACAATTTTTAACTTTAACACTTTTGATTTTTGTCATTACAAAAATACAAACAGGAAAAGTATTATGTTATTTAATACATAGTTGTATTTAAGCATGTGGAAGTTGTATTTTTTTTCAGCAATACTTCTATATCTATATTATTTTATATCAGATAGTGAAAAATAGTGTGTTACGTTATACTTTCAAACTTTTTCCTGTAAACAACAAGAAAATCAACAGTTATTTTGATTTTTTTTGTTTAGCCATGAATCTGAATTTTGTTAAACTTTTTTAAAATCAGTATGTTCGATGTTAACATTTATTTCTGTTAAATCACTTTGTATATGTTACTAAATATCGTAAATAGATTGTAAAGATAGAAAATTATTTTCTTTGCTTCAACACACTCCTTGATATTATTTTATTTAATAATTTTAGTATAATAATATTTTTGATAGGGAGAGTTGCCTTATTTGGAACATTTAAGGAGTAAATATTTATTACTGAAAGATGCCCAGCAAACAAAAAGACATCTTTTAGCTGTCTTTAAAACGTCTTTTTAAGATTGAAAAAGATGTCTTAAAGATATCTTAAAAAAGTGTACGTTTTCCGTCGAAAAGACGTCTAACTCAAGATTGCTTAAAAACGTCTTACTAAAAACCGATTTAAAACGTCTTAATTAAACGAACTAAATGCGTTTTATTCAAGACGTCTTAAAGATGTCTTAAAAAGGTCTAGGTTGTCCGTCGAAAAGATATCTTACTCAAGATAGCTTTAAGTCATCTTACTCTAGACAGATTAAAAACGCCTTACCCAAGAGCTTTAAAAACGTTTTACTCAAGAAGTCTTATTTTAGAAGACTTTTAGGTGTTTAGTTTAGATAAAATTAATGCCGCATTTATTAGAAACATAAATATAGAGCAAAAATAAATTAAAAAAAAAGTTAATTAATTAATAAAATTAAAAAAAATAAGTTAAAAGGGACATATAATACAATTAGATGGATTTTAATAAAGTATCTTTCTATATAACAATGTATATAACATATAATATATACAATAAAAAATAAATTTTAGATTCTATTTTTCCGCGATGGAGCATTTTTACAATATCTTCCGATTTGCTGTCTTATATCAGAATTTGAAACTTTTCCAAACCTTCTTGTTACAACTTCTAAAAATAAATTAAAATTTACAAATACTTGCCAAATAATAAAATAAAAACTTGCCACATAATTTATGCGGCAGTGGTGTAGTGGTAAGAGCGCTCGCTTTGCATGCAAGAGGTTCGAGGTTCGACTCCCACCGCATCTCTGGAAGTACCGCACTCAACTTAATTTTTCCGCGCAGCGGCCTTGCTTGTCAAGGTTCGTGTTTCAGAGTTAAAGAGTTAAGAGAGGGTTGTACCACGATTAAAAATAAAAATTTAAAAAAAAAAAAAAAATAGTAGCCTCCTCGACTGTAGTGACCCCCTCGGGCTTTGGGGAGGTAAATAACTAGAAAAAAATAAAAAATTTTAACTATCGAAAATCTTAAAAATAATTTTATCTTAACATACATTTTTTATCAAATACTAAATGATAAAAATTTTTATTATATTAAAACTATTTTTTATTACCTTCTATTACATCATATAGCTTCGTTGGTAATAAACCAATTTTTCCACCAGAACCTTTTAAATAAGCTGTGCCAATAGGGTATTTGTAAATAATCTAAATAACATAAGGAATAAATAAAACAATTTATGAAAAAATAGCAATTTACCATCCCAATGTAATTATTGGTTGCAATACCTACTATACTTTAAAATATATTTACAACAGAAAAATAAAAAATATTATTGCTCATATAAAAATATAATTAAAAAACCTATTCATAACCAATCTTGTCAGCTGTTTATAATCTTCTGGGCCTAAAAAACTCAGTTGTTTAACCTAAATAAAAAAAAATCAAAACCAAAATAACAAAATTATTTAAAATAATTATTTTAAGTTTACAAGGTTTTCAATATGTAAATATTTTCAATATGTAAAGGCAAAGTATTTACCAAATCAAGGCGAACTGAATCATCATCTAAATATTTGACAAAATCTTTGTATTCTGCTATAGTGTCTAATTGCTTAACTGCCAAATTACTATGGGGTTGTTTATTTACAGCAATAATTAGCTCCTGGTTTTCAAGAACTTTTAATACCTTCTTGAACATCATATGCTGGTATTCAAAATTAAACAATTTTCTGTTACTGTTCTTAAAGCACTTAAGAACAGTAACAGAAAAAGGATGAAACTTAGTTGAATGACGAGTAACACGAGAATGAATTTTTGTAGATGGCACAAGAGACGCTAGCTCTTTAGAGCAGTGCCTATTAAACTATTTGTAGAAAAGAGAAAGAGCAGCATCATTACGACGATCTGACAGAGGTTGAAGGTTGGCTGCAAGAGTAGGTCCAACTATGTTTACAATGCGTTTTTGCACCTTGTCTAAAAGAGAAAGGGCATCATTAGAAGATCAACCCCAGATATGGCAACAGTATTCCATACAAGGCCGGATTTAAGATTTATAGAGATAGAGAATAGAATCCAGAGTAAGAAAGTGACGAGCTCGATAAAGAGAAGCGACTTTAGCAGATGCTAATTTTGCAACGGATTTGATATAAGGTTTCCAAGAGAGATCAGAAGTAAGAGGTAATCCTAGAAAATGAAAGGTATAAATATAGGAAGGTCTAAATTATTTTATTTTACCGTTCATAAATATAGGGAGGTCTAAATTATTGCGATAACGATTGGCTGAAAAAATTTGAGTTTTGTCTGAATTAAAGATCACCAGCCACTGTGAGCCCCATGCTGTAGCAGAAGTGAGATCCTTTTCAAGCTCAGATGGCCCCTGCAAGTAATCAGAGGGAGTTGGCTTCTTATCGTAACAAGAATAAAGGTAGTATCATCAGCGAACAATGCTACCTTAGATGTGAGAATATCTGGAAGATAGTTAATGTAAATTAAGAGTATAGGGCCAAGGATTGAACCTTGAGGAACATCTGAGGTTAGAGAATAAGAAGAAGAGTGCTGTCCATCAAGGACAACTTTTATATTACGATTGGAAAGAAAGGATTCGATAATCTTAAAGATGTTTCCAGATACATCCTAAGAAGAAAGCTTATGGAGAAGACCAGCATGCCAAACTTTATCAAACGCTTTAGAAATGTCAAGAGCGATGGCGTTAACCTCACCACCTTTATCTAATGCGCAATAAAACCTATTGGTTATTACTACTAGCAAATCAGTTGCAGAACGAGAAGATTGAAATCCATATTGATGATCAGAAAGTAGGTTATAGGATTCGAGATTAGAGATTAGGTGTTTGTTATTTAAAGGTTCAAAAACCTTGCTTATTGTAGGAAGAAGACTAATGGGACGATAGTTAGGCGAATCAGATTGCTCTCCAGAATTTTTAAAAATAGGGATAACAGATGCTGCTTTCCAGCAGGCTGGAAAACAAGACTCTGATAAGCACTCGTTAAATAGTTTTGAAAGGATAGATGACAGCTCTTGACGGCTATATCAGGTAGAACACAACTAGTGGCATCAAGAGGTGATATTAATGAAAAGTTCTTGGCAAACAATTCAGCTTTATCTTTAGGTGAGGTGACAAAGTCTGAACCCTACAATTATATATATATATATATATATATATATATATATATATATATATATATATATATATATATATATATATATATATATATATATATATATATATATATATATATATATATATATATATATATATATATATATATATGTATAAATATATTCATATATATGTATATATAAATATATTTATATATATATATATATATATATATATAAATATATATATATATATATATATATATATATATATATATATGATATATATATATATATATATATATATATATATATATATATATATATATATATATATATATATATATATATGTATAAGTATATATATATATATATATATATATATATATATATATATATATATATATATATATATATATATATATATATATATAATATATATATCTGAATAAACTATATAAGTACTATATTCATGTGTTTGTTTTATATCTAATCTCATACCATTCTCAAATTTGATTTTGATAAGTTTTTATTTGTCCCATGTTTTATCTGCATTCATTGTATCATTGACAACTCTATGATAAGATATACCAGAAGGCCAAAATAGTATTTTTTTTTTCTGTATTTATCCACCTTCTTGGAACAATCTCTTCTATTTCCTCATAATTTTCGATCCATACAGCTCTTGCCTAAATCATGATGGTTGAAAACTAAATCATAATGAAGAAATGAATTATATTGTTACAATTATAAACAAAAACCTAATACAAAACATTCTTACTATAACTTGGAGTAATAAAAAAAAGTTGCTATAACAAACTTTAATTTAAACAATTTAAAAAAGAATGAAAAGATATTAAAAAACAACTAGGTATTTAACGATGTATATAATGATAAGGAAGTGCAATAAGTTGTCTTAAAAATTATACAAAAACCAAACAAAAAATGATATTAAAATAACTGTCTGTCTGTGTAGTTTTTAAGTTTGTGAGGCAGTAAAATAGTAACAATATTTAAAAAAAATATTATCTTTAACAATTTTTAATTTTAACGTTTCACGTTATCATTTTTTTTTGAAAAATGTTTCAATAATTGCATTAAAATAGATTTTTAAATAAAGTTATAATAATCTCAGTAAAAAATGCTATTTTTATTAAAAAATATAACATGTTATTAACAAGCAAACAAAAAAAGAGGAAAAATCAGAAAATGAGAGTTAAAAATTAAAGTTTATAAATATATATATATATATATATATATATATATATATATATATATATATATATATATATATACATATATATATATATATATATATATATATATATATATATATATATATATATATATATATATATATATATATATATATATATATATATATATATATATATAAATATATATATATATATACATATATATATATATATATATATATATATATATATATATATATATATATATATATATATATATATATATATATATATATATATATAATATATATATATATATATATATATATATATATATATATTATATATATATATATATATATATATATATATATATATATATATATATATATATAATATATTACAATACATTATATATATAATATATTATGTATATAATATATTATTTATTATATATATAATTATTATATATTATATATTAAATATATAATAATTATTTATTATGTATATAATATATATTATACATATATATATATATATATATATATATATATATATATATATATATATATATATATATATATATATATATATATATATATATATATATATATATATATATATATATATATATATATATATATATATATATATATATATATATATATATATATACAATTAACATGATAAAATTCACTAATAACCATTTGAGGTAAGATGCAGGTTATTAAATAATAAATGTTAAGTATAAACAAACAAAAAATTTAGTTTAAAAAGGTTTCAATCGAACAATTATGATTCATTAATGTTCTATTTCATGCAACAAAGAAAAGCACGAAAGACCTTTTTTCCAAGGTAGGGAACAACAACCTTTTGGCAGAGACTTTCAACTCCTAAAACTACCACTTTTACTTTTATTTCATTAATCTTTGGTATCAAGAAAATTTTATAGGTTTTAGACAGAATCGGTTGTGTATATAAATCACTTTGTAAATCAAGTTTAAATACTCTACATCCAGATGGTAATTTAAATACTACAAAAATCCAGATGGTAATTTCTCATCAATAAAACAAAATTGATTTTCTTCTAGATAAAAGCATGAATTTTTCAGCTTTACTGAAATATTTAGTTTTTGAGATTTTGTATTAAATAAATATTGTAAACTTTGACACTGTTTTGTAATTTGAACAACCAGACTCTTTGAATTTTTTACTGCTTTCCTTAATGTCTGCATATAATTTTCAAAGGGAAAACAAGATATTGTATTCAGTGAACAATCAAATCTAACAACATCATCACAAATATGAAGTAAACAGTGAACATTATAAACACAGAATGATTTTGTATATAAATGTTTCAAATTAGTAACAAAATAATTTATTAGTTTTTTAGCAAATTCAAGATAATGATTTCTAACTTGATTTTCTTCGTTTAAGAGAATCACCATCGCAACATGCAATGTTAGAAAGTGGTTATAAATTTCTTTGCTAACAACACCCTTTAAAACTAAGGGACCAGTGTATAAAATAAATTGCCTGAACTCTGTTGCTTTCCAATGATCTAACACAAAAAGAGACCGTGGTTGTTGAGCAAATTCAGATGGCATCATACCACGTAAGCTTATTAGATTAGCAGATATTTTTTTTATTTGGGTATTTGAAAGTCTACAATGTTTAGGACCTGACTTTAAAAAATGTCCTAAACATTTGAATGCTTTAAGTTTAACATTAATTTTTTTATTATCGTAGTATAAACCCCCATTAGATAAAAATAAAAATTCTTGGATAAAATTATAGAGAAAATCATCTAAGCAAGTTGGTTTACCATTTCCACAGAAAAGTCCAATTATAAAAATATAGTTCTCTATTAAACCAAGTATTGGCCATAGTTGAAGATTAGAAGATTTAAAAAGAGGTAGTCCATCAACATTAACAGTAACAGATAATTCAGTATTTTGAGAATCTTTTTTTGTATTCAAAAAATAATTTAAGCCATCAGCAATGGTAAATTATGCATAAGTTCCGCCACACTTCCGATCTACTGTAAAAACTTTAGAGGATTTTAAAAGGGATCTTCCATCTTTGGGCAACTCTGAATGCCCATGCCTTCTGAGAATATTCAAAAGTTCCTTTAAAATTACTTTGAGAAATGTTACTTTTTGATGACCACTTTGTCAAACCTTGTGATAATGTTTCTGTTTTCAAGAGTGTTGGTGCATTAAAACATTCAAAATTCTCATAATTATAACTCAAAGATAAATTTGTTACTCCACTTTCTTCTTGAATATTAGCAGGGGCTTCACAAGGTGTTTCATGCTCATAAGAAGCATTAAGTTCACGATTCATATTAGTGCTAATATCGATAACTTCATCTTGCGT